CTGGAACTCTGCAGGGCCACAACATGGATTTATGATGACATGTTGATGATACGTCTGGAAGAAGGTCAAGTTTCTTCATTGTCATTTGCATCACATGTGGTACATAATGTGGAATGAAATTGTGTATTCAAGGTCCGATTTACATCCAAAAATAGCAAAAACATAAATTATAAAAGAAACAGTAAATAAGGATCTAAGATATAAACTAAGAAATATGCTAAACACTAAGATTGCAAAACAATGCACTGAACAACAGCAGCACAAACATGAGTCTCTGTGGATGGATGAGTACGAATGAGTGAATACAGCAGCATGAAGTAATCAGCAGAATGAGATCAGCAGCATGGATAATCAGCAGCACATATCACCAATCAAAATTGTAAAGTTTGCAGACGATACAGCGGTGGTTGGATGCATCAAAAACAATGATGAGTCCATTTAGAGGCAGGAGGTGGAACACCTGGAGAGCTGGTGCAGGAAGAACAACCTTCACATCATTGTGAAGAAGAGGAAGGAGATGGTTGTGGAGTTCAGAAGGAATAAACACACCTAACACAAAACATAGGAGGATCTGTGGTGGAAGTGGTCTGCAGCTTCAAGTACTTAGGTGTGCACCTGAATGACAACCTCAGCTGGAGCAACACCACCAGCCTGATCAAGAAAGCTCATCAGAGACTCTACTTCCTCAGACGGCTGAGGCGAGCTGGTCTGGGAAGCTCAGTCCTCACCTCCTTCTACAGGTGTGCAGTGGAGAGCATCCTGTGCTCCAGCATCAATGTGTGGCATGGAGGCTGCACAGCTACAGAAAGAAAAGCTTTGCAGAGAGTGGTGAAGGCTGCACAGAAGTCTGTTGGAGTCAGTCTCCCCACCATCACAGACATCTACACCTCTTGATGCAGGAAGAGGGCCATCTGCATCACAAAGGACCACACTCACCCAGCACACACATTTTTTTTGCCCAGCTCCCTTCAGGCAGAAAGCTGAGGAGCATTAAGTGTAGAACCACTAGACTGAGGAACAGCTTCTACCCTGAGGCTGTTAGACTCATGAATCTCTAAGCAGAATAATCACTGTGAAAAAAATCACTGTAACGTCACTTGGTTGTTGATATGCGCTGCTGACTATCCATGATGCTGATCTCATGCTGCTGATTATTTCATGTTGCTGTATTCATTAGTCTTCTTCTGCTTACACAGACTCATGTTCATGCTACTGTTGTTTTGGCGCATTGTTTTTAAACTATTAGTGCTTGGTGTATTCTAAGTCTTGTGTATTCATAGTTTAGTGAATGTAATATATTCTTAGTTCATGATTCGGATGTTACTAATGTTTTTCGTTACAATTTGTGTTTTTGTTGGATGTGACTGTGACCCTGTGTACATAGTTTCATCCCACCTCATGTACCACATGTGACATGCATGACAAATAAATCTCTCTGATTCTGAAAGTTTCATTACAGTGCTTTAACAGTGCTTAGTTTTCATTACAATTGTACCAAGAGGGACCGTGGGTATATTGGTAGAAGGATGTCAGAAATGCAGCTGCCAGGAAAAAGACAAAGAGAAGATATAATGTATGGATGCAGTTAGAGAGGACATGAAGGTAGTTGGAGTGAGGACAGAGGATGCAGAGGACAGAGTGAGGTGGAGGAGGATGACTCGCTGTGGTGACCCCTGAAGAGGCAAAAGCCGAAAGAAGAAGATATGTATATAATGTGCATTTAAGCTTACATTACTACCATGAAATACTTATTTATATGAATTCATCCTACTTGCACCGTTATATTCTACCATGTTTTGTTTATTATATTTCTTTTGGACCTTGTAAATATTGCATTTCTTTTTTCACTTTTTTGGTACTTTATTTTGCATCCATATTGCATGATTTAGGATTTCTTGATTTTTTTTTTTTTAGCAAGTCAAATCAGGTCTTCTCATCCTGAACATTTCATTGCACTGTTGACCTTGTGTTAATCTGCATATGACAAACAAACAACATAACATGAAGGTTCTGTTTTTAACCAGAATGGAAATATGTGATGAAAAAATGCGCTGAATTAAATAAGAGAATCAAAATCTGAAGATTTTCACTGGGTCTGTTGAAGTTAAATATGTTCCTTCGAAATTACCGAGTGTTTCAGTGAAACACTTCCCCCCGCATGCCTGGAGGAGAAATATTTATGTTCCACCTTTTATTTTGTTTTATAATAAAAAGACAAACATCTGAGCGGGACTAAAGCTATTTAAATAGCATATCTTGTACGTCTTCCCTCAGAGTGAATCCGTTTACAAATGTAAGAACGTATCTAGATAAGCGTTGAAATGTGATCCTCAGCGTACATTTTGGTGAATGGTGATATTTGCTCTGATTACAGTTTAACTTGTATGTAAATGCAACTCGGTGCAGAGGAAGCACAGGCCAGAATGCGATAAGAGCGGAAAGAAGTTGGTCGTTTGAGTGGAATGACCCAGTCTGAGAGCTTGGCTTGGATTCAGACCAATCGGTAGACTTTACCCTATTCACAAATAAAAAAGTGCAATTTTGCAGCTTTTGACGGCACTCTGTGTAACGATAATCATGCCATGTGTTTATTAACACCAGGTCTTCAATCTGTTGGATGGCACAGTGCAACAACAGGAATGATATCACTTCATACTTTGCATAAGTCAAAATTTTTATTCCAGCTCCTAACATTCAAAATACATTTCATTGTCTCCTGCTGTCCTGATATTCAGATTTAGGTCACTGGCATTACAAATGTTAATTAGCCTTGGGGGGGGGGGGGGGGGGTGGTATAATAGTTTGACTGACAGGTTTGTCAAAATGTTAACAAATGGCGTTGGAGAAGATGGCTGACATTTTGAATGGACTATAATGTTAACTGATGCACTGATGAAAAAACAAAAAACGTGAATTAACCATGATTTTCCAATGTGGAACACCTCTTGACTACAACTATACACACAGAAAATGTCCACAAATCACATGGGAACTGTGCAAACCGTGTTTTACATGTTATTTAACAGCATTTACCAAAATATGTAATTTTCCACATGAAGTTCTTAATTTGTTATTTCACATGAGAAACATGTTTCATGTGTGTTTCACATCTAACATGTCTAACATGTGTTCACATTAGAAAACATTTACCGTACTTTCCGCCATATAAGTCGCATCAGTCCAAAAATGTCTAATAAAGTGGACAAAAACATAAATAAGTTGCTTCGTCGTATACGTCGCATCTATTATGCATCACCACTGACCACCTGGAAACGTGGGCGGAACCTGTAAATGTGGGCCGGTGTTGTGCCAAAAATCAATTTGAAGCCAAATGGCAGCCCCGGGAGCATACATGGGAGAACTTTAACAAGTATTTAACAAAATTAACACTTTAAAACAATTATTTGTTTACTCAACATTATAGCAAAGATGTGTCTCAGTTGAACTATTCCTTAATAAATGCACTTTGGTGGTCAAAACATGGTGAAATGAAGCAGCTTTAACATAACACGCCCACCCACCCAGCAAGCCTTAATAATAACATAAACATCAGTTTATTTTATTTATTTATTTTTTCATCCAACATCGCTGAATCTGTTGAATCCTTCGTCCTCGGTGTTACTAGCGAAGAGGTGTGCCAACTTCCAAGGGAGATGAAGGGTTGCCTCCTCCTCCTCTACTTCCGTATCAGCTCCAGCTGCAGCTCCAGCTATTCCAGCCTTCCTGAATCCTGACAGCAGCTGCGTTTTTTACCTCCGTTTACAGCCTCTAGTGGCTGTAAACGGTAGTGTTCAATATTTTCCATGACAGAATGATTGGAAGTGTCAGATGTCAGTCAAAAATTATGTTATAAATATGGGAAATAAACATATAATAGTCGCTTCGGTGTATAAGTTGCAGGACTTGCAAATTCATGCAATAAGCTGCGACTTATACTCCAGAAAATATGGTAATCTCCACATGTGAATTTCATGTGATTTATGTTCCAAGCTCACTCAAGAAATGAGCCAAACTTGTTTCACGTGTTAGTTTACCCATGTCTACGACATGTCCTACCTGAGCTCCACAAAATCTTTTTTTTTTTTTTGAGCGCTCAAGTTTGAAGCAATTCCATATATTTTACATGAACATCAGTCTTTAAATGGAAAATATCTAATATCAGTCAAAATTCTTTGAATAATACAATTTATCATAAATAAAATTGAAGTAATCCACACTGATTGTTTAAAATGAAAGGCAGCCTGCAAGCTTAGCTCACATTTTTGTACAATATAGGAGTTTTTATCACCAATTCAAGACAAATGCTGTTATTTTCCAACAAGACTGAACTGAGTGAACCTGTGAAGGTCGTCAGTGCATTAGTTTGTCTCTGGAGCCCCCTGCAGCAGCAGGTGCAACACAGACCCCACAACTCCATGTTACAACTACATATCTATAGTTATTTAGCAGAAACACTGTGTCTTTGGACTCAAGATAGACACATTGTACGCATAAAAAGCAATCTGAGCAACAATCTGAGTTTTTGAGGAAGTTGGGGTTTTTTTTAAAGAATTTTATTACATTTTTATCCTAAATTCTAACATTATCTGTATAAATGTCTAAAGCATTCATACTGATTAGGAACTGTTACATGCAGGATGTGAGTAATAAAACATTCAGATACAAGCCGCAGTGAGTACTCGCTCCTCTGTTAGTTGTTTTCAGTTTATTAGAAAGTGTTACAGCTGTTGTGTATAAAGAGTTCAGGTTCTTGGAGTCGGGCTTCGTGCACACACGGCCTCAGTTCGGGGCTCGTCGGGGGCCAAGCGTGAGCTGGGATTCTGTTGGATGACGCGCAGGGGTGTGTTGTCGTTTGCTTCTGAGAATTGGCTTTGGGAAGGAGGGTTATCTGCAGCTGATAAGGGCCACGTTTAAAAAGGGGGGTTGCGTTAGGATGAAGGTAAGTGACTGTCTGACTGCCACCTGGAGAGAGCAGAGTGCAGGGAGGACTCTGATGAACCATGCTGCTGCGCGCCCTCACTCTCTGCCTCACCTACATGCTGTTTGCTGCTGGGGTGCTTTGCATGCCGTTGTCGGACCAAGGGCCACACATCGCACACGGCTGGGGCCAGGTGGTCCGGCTCAGACACCTGTACGCTGCCACACCGGGCCTTCATCTGCTGATCAGTGAGGATGGACACATTCACGGTGCCATGGAGCAAACTCTGCACAGTAAGTCTGAGCTGCCTGTCCCTCTGACGTACCGTCACCCTGCTGGGGTGTTGTTTGTTTGTTTGTTTGTTTTCTTATTCACATGAACATTTGAACTGCAGGCCTACTGGAGATCCGTCCAGTGGAGACAGGACTTGTTGTCATCAGAGGAGCAGCAACGACACGGTTTCTGTGCATGGAGAGTGATGGAAGACTGTACTCATCGGTAAGAAGTGCAAACGCACTCCCATCCATCCATCCATCTATCTATCTATGTATCTATCTATGTATCTATCTATGTATCTATGTATCTATGTATCTATCTATCTATCTATCTATCTATCTATCTATCTATCTATCTAT